CGGGACGGGCTCCAGGGTGTTGGCAGTGGCCCGCCAACCCCACTCAGTGGGCGAGAGGGAATGACCTAGCCATTGCTGCACCTGTAGGTACACCCGGTACGAGTGTTGACGGGCAGCGCCACAGGTCGGAGGGAAGCCCGACAGCTTCGAGACGGCCGATGGCTTAGCCTGAACTTTGTCGTGGCACTCATTGTATCGGAGCAGGTCTAGGGTGATTTTTTGGTGCTTCTTTGACTTTGGATAGAGAGACAGGGTCAGTTTATCTCCACATTCAGCAGTTTTTTCCTTATCAGCGTCCGGTGCCAAGAACTCGCGAGCCACTTCACGCAGTTCTGCATGTCCGACCTTCTCCACGACCGCGATGCTATTGTCATCTTCGGCGCGTGCCATGAGCACCACCACGATGTCCGTGTCCGTGCCATGAGCATCACCACGATGTCCGTGTCCGTGGCGATGACGGCCACGTGGCGTCCCGGTTCATCCAGGCGCAGCGCCGTCTCCACGATGACGGCGTCGGCGTCCGCCTGCGCCGCCCCCACGTCAGCCGCGCGCAGGTGATGTTTCAGCAGCGTGGCCTTGCTCCTGGTGTTGCTGAGGAAGTCCTCCCTCTGGACGCTGACCGCCGTGTCCTCGACAAAGTCAATGTCCGGGCAGGGGCGGCGATGTGTGTCGAAGCGGCCGCGGCGCGGCGACGCTGTATAGGTTGCAAAATAGACATATCATAACTCACAGTAAAGTTTGGTCACATAATAAGCTAAATCAAATAGGTGAAATTACAAAAAAAAACATGTAACGCCAAAAACCAAGACCACAGGTCACACTTTTTACTTCTTGGCCACAAAATGGGGTAAAATGCACCTGAAACAAAGCTTACTGAGCTCCAGTATGTATTTCTCCTAGATACCCTCATCCCGAGGAACTTCAATAATATTGACATTGTCCTTGTAGATGGTAAAGTGACACGTCTGTAAATCTAATAAGGCCGTGCTCAACTAAACCTAATCATAATACTCATTTTTTTCTTTTAAAAAATACAGGCCACCAACTTCTTGAAGATAGGGCAGAAATAGGACCCACAAGTCTGCGCCCATTCTGCAGCCTACAGCCGGTACATTCCCCCAAACAAGACATAAGAGCCAATAACTTTTACAATTCCTTTGGGTCTGTAGCCAAACCACTGTCGTAAAGATGTTTTGCTAGTCAATTCAAGGGAAGGACCACGTCTCAAAGAATTACTCGAGATAAACTGATACTATATTTAATGCTGAGACGAAACAGAACTATATACAGTGTCCACCCGACTCACCCTTGGCCGACCCTCACTCCACGACGCGCACGTACCTGGGCCCTGACCGCGACTGCCGACCCGAAGCTCCACCGCAGCGCGCCCGGCGCGCGGGGGCTTTCCAGAAGGGCCGGTCAGCCTCGGTCAGTCCCGACACCACGATACCTCGAGAGCTCGACCAAGGGAGTGGGGGAAATACTTCCGGGCTTTTGCCGCGGAATATACAAACGCTCAAAATACATATGTCTACACGACAACCGCGCAGCCTAAACTACACGACACCACGGGGAGAATGGATTAACAACTATACCTAGGTCTATCGCTGGACATTTTGTAGCCTTATAATATGCCTTTTTCGTGTCAGGCTCCTTGTCCTTCCCATTCTGCATGGCCTTAGTCCTGCCACCTTTGCCGGGCTTCTTTTCAGGGGAAAAGATACTGTCTATTTTCTTCAGTTGCTATGAGGCCCTTTGCCCGTGTTATCATTGTATGTAAATAAAGGGTAGGCCCTGTCTACCCTCAAAGCTCATCAAATGTGTTGATCTTTGTGGCTGAGCGATAGCGAAGCCCGTTACTCCAGTGCGGTTGAAAAGTTTTGTCTGTCTGTCTGTCTGTCTGTCTGTCTGTGTGTCCGTGTGTGTGTGTGTGTGTGTACACTACTCCTCCTGAACGGCTCGGCCGATCTGGCTGAGATTTTGCAGGCTTATTAGGTATGTTCTTGGCTCGGCACACGCGAAATTTCACTGTCCTAGCTCAACCGGTTCAGTTTTTATAGCCGAAAAACACCTAAAAAACGGCGAAAAATCGAGTTTTTTTGCAGGTAGATCACCTCTGTGTTGAAGAGAGGGGGTCAGCCTCGACAAGTTAAAAAGTTACAGGGTCAAGATCGTGTTATCTGTAGATTAAGCAACTCTTTCTAGAATTAAGGGGGGTCTGGGGGGCGGAGCCCCACAGCATGCAACACGTAAGAAGTAACCGACGATGGACAAGCCAATGCCTGCCGAAGGCAGGCTAGCGCCGCAGGCCAAGGTAGGTACGCCAGGCGCGGATTGGAGGAACAGGCCGCGAGACATCGCGAAGCCTGTTACGACAAGACGCGGTCTGGCGTAAACCTACCTTGTCGAGTTCATGTTCAGAAAAGGCCAGTAGACAAAATACAGCAAGTACCTTCTCTGCATTAAGAAGTGAATTATTCAGTTGGTCCATGGTCCTTATGGTTTCCTCTCCTTCATCTGCGCGCTTCTTAATCCTCTGTAGCTCTTGTTCTTGGTCCTGAATTCTTTTCACTCAATCTTCATTGGAAGCTCTCCTGAAGGAAGCCTAAACACAAGAGCACAAGAAGTAAATACACATTGCTAAGCATGAACTGACTAACACCTCCATCAGAATTTCAGCACAAATAAGGCACATATCCCTTCTGTCGGGGAATTTTTAAATCTTTAAGAGGAGGATATGTTTCAATCAGCACTTCCATGACATGCTTCATGCCATCGGCTGGTAAGGAACTGAAAATAAGGGAAACATTAACATAAATATTTGAAAAGCTAGTTACACTTGATGGCATGCAGGCACTGAGTGTATACTCACTGGTATACTAAGTGCTTTAAACAGTGTTCATAAAAGGACAGAATTAAGCTACTTTGAGCTTTCTCAGACAGCGGTTCCCTGGTCCTGTTCTGGGCGGCAAGCTCAGCCTTTACCAGATCACTGAACTCTGGCAGCTTATAGGTAGCGCGGGGGAACTCGGGCAGGGACTAGAATATCATTGGCCCGGTTTTCTTCCTGCTCATCAGCCATGATTACTTCATCTATCCCGTTTACTTGATCTACCCGGAACACTCGACATTCCATGTCCCCATCATGAGACACTTCCACAATCTCCTGCATGCTCTGCGCCACGTCTACGCTAGTGACCGTAGGATCACCTTCCCACTGTTAAAACATAAACAAAAACATGAACATTGAAGGTTCCGAACAGAGAGAGGGAGAGACAGATAGGTCAATGGAACTCACCACTAGCCGGCCTTCTCTGCATTTGACAATGTTTAGATTGTTGGCAGCTCTGGCATTTCTGTTTCTCATGCCATCCCGCCATGATTCAGCTTGGTGTCACTACGATGTTGTGGAGCTATTCCCTTCTTAATCTTAGCCTGTTCAGTCCACCTCTACTCGTTATAGTGGCTTCTGATCTTTGACACCCATGAACGCTGCAAATGAAAATGCATTAGCTTGTGTGAAGTAGAAGCATTTAAAACCTGAATGTAATGTTTCTCACCTCAGACTTTAACCTGTCCCGATAAAGGCCAGGGGCATTGATTTCTCTCTTCAATTTGGGGTACTTCTTCAGCAAAACACCAAGGACTGCGAGATTACGTGGTTCCTGCTCATAGCGGCAAGCAAACATTCAACATTAATATGAATAAATGAAGAACAAATGGAAAAGAGCAAATGGCAAACTTTCAAGTCTTTATTGAATTGGCAGAGGGATCGGAACTTATACTCTTTAGAGAAAAGATTCTGGTTGCCGTCCAGATTTGAACAAATTTTCGATTGCACATCTTTATTAGAGCTAAATCAAAGTAGGAAGCCATGACATCACATTTGACGACAACGAAAACGATGCGACCCCCAGATATCACAGGCGTTCCAGGGGGGAAGTCAGGATTTCAACGCCGTTGAGCACGCACTCGTCGGACTCCAGTACAGCGTTTAACAGTACGTGAAGGGTGTCTGGTGAAGCAGACTTGAACGTTGATCGTTTCATCAGGGTCCACAACTGCACCACTTTTACTTTAGAGCGCTCGAAGACCTTCTCAAATGTTGCCTCAATAGCGTATCCCTGCAACATGAGGAGACTTGTCTGTCAACATGTACTTGGGTATTTCGTTGTGCTGAACCTCCCACAAACACAGCAACTCACCCACAATTTCCTCATGAGAGAGGCTAGCATTTTGCAATCGTCCGTTCTTTCCCATCCGTTTCTCTTTGGGTAGGCTGCATCGCAGTCAACAGACCAGTGTACCCTGTGGTGGCTGATTTTGTTAAGAGTTTTTCAACGCGAGCCATCTTATTTTCTACTTAGCTCTAAGTAGCTTCCGTGAGGTGAAGTCCTCCATGGCAGTGGTAAATTTGTTCAGCGAATTTTCCATCGCTTTGACAATTGACCTTTCGGCAGCAGCAGCGGATCTTGACTTTTCCTTATACTTGCCCTGTGTAGCAGTAGAGGCGCTGAGCCGGGCGTCGAACCCGAGCCCCCCGATATTGAACAGATTAAACATCAGGGAACTTATTCGAGTGGGACATCGATGTCCTTTCCGCATAAGTTCCCTGGTGGAACATCAGGCAAATCATGCAGATTGTGTTCGCGAAATAGGATGGCACATAACCTACCTAAGGCGCTCATCCGCGGTGCCGTGATTCTTGGATTCTGCTGGCGTTGGTATAAAGCGTACGCGTCCTGGTACGCCTTTCTGATGTTTGGGACGACCGACACATATAACGGGTACCACTTATCATTGTTCGGTGGTTCCACGCGACGCAGCACAGTATCCAATGTCCGTGGGTCCATGGGGTAACGCACATGAGTAGATATTCTTGTCATCTCACGCATGTACGTACAGGCACTAGCAAAATATGTCGGTAATTCAACCTCCAAGTCCCCCTCAAACTTGGGGGGGGGGGGGGGTTGGAAGTGACCGCACGCTCTGGGTCAATAGGACGGGGCTGGAACCTTTTACGGTCCTCCACATAACCCATGGCGTCCAAGGCCTGCAAATCACAAGACCGTCAGCCTCACACACAAGCAAGGAAACATAAGAGGAGATTGGTGGAAGCAACACAACTGACCTTCGCCGTTCCCTCAGTGGTGACCCACACACCACTCGGAACCTTCAGCAAATGCGTAGCCTTTTTCCTGATTCGCCGTTGCTGCCTGTAAAAACAGTGGACTTGTTAGGCCTGTGGAAAGGGGAACATGGGTATGATGTGATAAGCAACTTACGTTTATACCTTCGGAAAATCATAGGGTCAATCTCCTCTTCATTGCGGGCTGGAGGGTCTGTTGGTTGGAGGGTTCGTCTCTTCCGAATAGGTGGGAAGAGGAGCCCTCCCTCTTCCTCCACTTCCAGCTCCTGCCTGAAACATAATTAAAACGATAAACTTGTGCATTGCATGAGAGGCAGACAGGCAGTGGCTGGCTGGCCACTTTGGACCAGGCGTGCACAGGCAATAGCAACACACTGACTTCTTCTGTAGTAATGTTAATATAATTAATATATCCACACTTGCAAGGGCAAAACTGAGCAAAATGCCCTTTTCCAACATGAAGGGAAGGTATATGACGCTGTCAGACCATGCATCAAGGGTCAAATAAACATGCAGTGAGCAATAGTGAGGCAGAGACTGCTTCCTTCAATTTTGGGTACTTCTTCAGCAAAACACCAAGGACTGCGAGAATACGTGGTTCCTGCTCATAGCTGCAAGCAAACATTCAACATTAATATGAATAAACGAAGAACAAATGGAAAAGAGAACAGTGATGGCAAACTTTCAAGTCTTTATTGAATTGGCAGAGGGATCGGAACTTATACTCTTTCCTCAGCGCAGTAAGCAGGAGATTCACTAAAATTTTGAGAAACAAAATAAAATGGAAGATACACAAATAAGTGATATTCAGTGTTCATGGATAAAAACAAAGATGCACTAGCGAAACACGCTCAATGTTCATGCACTATTTAGTACGTGATGTTGCACGAATTTTTGCAAACGTAAAATTGACCTCAAATTTTCCTGCATTAAGCCTTTTTTCGCCGGAAATTGGCTGATTTCACGTCTGCACAAACTCATGCAATCTACACTATAATTTACAATTCAGTGTTTTGTGCATCAGCTACGCACCAAAGTGTGCGTACGTTTCAAAATGCATGAATTTCATGCGTTGTAAGGCACTGTTACGTGCTTTGTCGCGCACAAATTTATGCATTCGGAAACGCATGCACAGTTCCGTGCGTAGCTTTTGCACCAAACACACCACATTGTAATAAAGTGTGTTCACGTACAAAATTCCACATAAACATACAGTGTTTTCTGTACTTGCGCAAGGAATTCTTGGAAGATCCCTTTCAGATCCTTGTACCTCCTGGCGAGAAATACCTCCTCTTGACCGATTATCACCATGACTTCGGCCAGAATGCGAGTCACGCACAATATGATGAGTTTGAAAACAATCTCATAACACATTGCTTTCAATTCCTGGAGATGCCTGAATACCCTGTCGCGGCTGACCACTCTGACGCCTGGCTTCCGGAGGTTCTCCACACGGCACAGCGCTGCCTGGTTTCCTGCCGTTTCGTTGGCATTGATCCAGGCAGCATGTTCCTCTTTGAGGTGAGTCGTTATCCCATCCCGCTGAGCAGGCAGGTGTAGGCAGTACGGGCAGCGAAATTCTCCGACCGGCCTCTTGGTCTGCACAGAGACAACACACAAATTAGGGGTTCCGACGAAGGAGGACCCCTATTGCTTTTGACGGCTCAGAATTCTTCTTCTACGGACCCCCGAAGATGCACATTTGGCTCCCGCCACATTAATCCTTCTCATAATCTAATAAAAAATCCAGAAAATTTAAAAAATTTATCGTGGAAATTTTCCGTAAACGACTAAAACATAAATTTGCAACAATCAAGCACCCTTATCCGTTCACATTTTCCAGAAACGTTTCGAAGAAAAAATGTGCCACTCCTCAAAACTAAACCTCCTGCCTCATCAAAGTGACAAGAAATCGTCTGTCTTCTGACAAAATGGTTAAAACATGAAAAAAAAGTCTCCATGGCAACGACACGGTGCCATCGTACCAACTGTCAAAATTTAAAGTCCCTGATAAGAAGAAATGAAAACGCCGTAAAATTCGAAAATGCCAATGTTCACTCATTGCACAGTGACAAGACATTTAAACATCTTTCAAATCTGTCATTAGTAAAAGGTTCGCAGCAGAAAAGACAAAATAAATAGATTTTCGGGGGTTGGCAACAATTTTCTCGGCGTCTGCGCCCTTTCGAAAATCGCGAGGCTGAAAAAACGAGTAGTCGCGTATTGAAACTGCCCCTCCATTGTTGCTGAGGTTGGATTGTTTGGCTTGCTTTTAAAGGCTGCGGTTCTCTTCTCATGTTTTCCTCAATTCTGTAACCAGCACGACGGTTGGTTTGACAAACTTTTTAAACTCGGGAGGGGTGGTTTCGGAACGCGGATGACTTTCGTTTGACGAACATGAGCATTGTAAATCGCGAGATCGCGAGAGGGACTGAGATGGTCATTGTGTTAACTGAATCAGGTTTGGGGATGTAAAAATACCGGTAGGATTCAAAGTTACGTAAATAACGATAAAATTAACGTAATTAACGTTTAGATGACAGATTTCAAATTCATTTCCACAACCGGAACACCGTGCAATGCGTAAGCATTGGAATTTTTTTCCTTTGACGAGTCGAGTTTTGCCATGGAAGCGGCGATTTTGACAGCAAATATCTCAAAATTGGCCGTTAACTTTTTAACTAGATTTCAGCATGAGAATCAGCGTTCAAAGTTCTGCAAGTCTGCAAAGTCTCATTAAAATCGTATAGAAAATTTCCGAAATGCATAAAGGGCCACACAAATTGAATCTCGGGCCGGCTGAATCCTGGGTATACTATAAGGCTACTTCGTGCCTAAAAATTTTTAGACAGATTCCTCTTTGATTTGAATAGACGAACCCGTTGCACCAAGATTAGATGGTGAATCCTCTGCCACAGAACTTGAATTCAGCCCATCAACTTGTGCACGTTCAGTATCTTCTTCATCATCGGATATCAAAATGGCTTCCTCGGGAACATCGGTTGCCGAAGAAAAGTGAGAATCATTTTCTGGACCTGGCAATAACAAATCAGTATTAATATTTATCAAAAGAACACTTATACACATGAAAGAACATAAACCCTTACACTTTTAAAGAATATCAATCCCATATGAGTTGTCCCACTCCATAGCCTCATCTCCACCATCATCTGATGCCTTTTTAATATCATTCAGCAATCGTGGTATATTTACAGGGCCTCTTGCGTTTCTTGAAAACATCGCATTGGAGTATGCAACGAGGCGTTCTACATCCACGCCCTCGTCCTCGTGACGCCGAGCGTGCGTGAACATTGATAATTTCAGTGTTCATAGCTCCGCAAAAGGGACAAAAACACATCGGCTGTGATTCTTTGGATTGTCTGTTCTCCACTGTAAACTGAAGAGAAACGTCAGATAAGCTGTCATTTTAATTCAAACACAGCGTGAAGCAATCGTTAACCATACTTACTCCCAATTTTCTTGCTCTTGATCCCCGATGACCTGATCTCATGATGTCCTGGGATCAGTCCGGGCTTGAGCGGGGCTCAGTTGAGGCTGTAGCCGGGGCCCAGGTCATCGGGGCTTAAGGGGGCTCATACATGTTAAAAGCACTTTTTAAAAAAAAAATTTTGATGTAGACGGATTAAGATTTTACAATTTCTGTGTTAAAATCCTTAAAGATAATTGAGTAAGCTTCATTTTGACTTAAGTGAAAGTGGCTTTGGACATTTTTTGGAGATTTAGTCGAAACGTTTAAAATTTTGCTTCTCGTAAGATTTTGTTCGCATACTTGCTCAGATCTGTGGGGAAAAAATCAGGGAGACTCATCCCCAGTAGTGTCATAGAATTGACTAGAATGGGCTTTATATCTGCAATAGTTTTCAAGAAAAAAAATAAAAACAATTTTTTGTTAAAAAATTTGTTTAAAAAATTGTTAAAAAAATTGTTTTTATTTTTTTTCTTGAAAACTATTGCAGATATAAAGCCCATTGTAGTCAATTCTATGACACTACTGGGGATGAGTCTCCCTGATTTTTTCCCCACAGATCTGAGCAAGTATGCGAACAAAATCTTACGAGAAGCAAAATTTTAAACGTTTCGACTAAATCTCCAAAAAATGTCCAAAGTCACTTGATCCAGGAAGCGGAAGAAGGGAATAATTCGACTTATCTCCAAATTGAGTTTTTATTATGTCGTTGTGCCTTAGAATGGTTTGCATCATTGTACCAAATTATTTGACTCAATTCCTAGCAGTTAAACAGAAAATCCACTTTGAAAAAAGATGTAACTCAACTTGACCCCTTTTTCACTCTCAATTTAGCGGAAAATAGAATCATCTGAACCAAAGTCAACATGACTCCGTTCAACATATTGTTGATAGGAGATAACTCAACTTGTGTTTTTATGTATCCATTGTAAAAAGAATCAAGTCAACTTACCCCCCTTTAATTTTAAGAACTTGAACGGAAAAAAGAGCTAAGTCCAAAAAATGCACCAGATGAACCAACACTCTCTGCTGACTATAGTTCCACTTGACATGTCTCCGAATTCCACTTGGTTTAAGAAATTTAAGTTGAGATGACTCTGTTTTCCATTTCAGCGGAAAGTGATAAGTCACAGATATCCTATACGCAGTGACTTGACACTCGTGATGTTTATCTCAAAATTTAACTTCCTTTTTTATAACTTGTTATCATCTATAACATTCCATTGTTCAGTTTTAGATTTCCCTGCTAACAGTTTTTTGTTGCTCCTGAAAAATGGTCAAAATGGAGTTATCCCCTTCTTCCGCTTCCTGGATCACTTTCCCTTAAGCCAAAATGAAGCTTACTCAATCATCTAAAAAGATTTTAACACAGAAATTGTGAAATCTTAATCCGTCTACATCTATTTTTTTTTTAAGAGTGCTTTTAACATGTATGAGCCCCCTTAAACGGGACGGGGCTCACGTCGACCCCGCCGATTCCTCGTTCGGGGTCACCCCAAAGTCAGTACGAGTCGGGGCGCAGGTCTCAAAGTCAGGGGAAGTGCATGTCCCACACACTGAGAACTTGGTAGTACTTACTGTTCATCGTAGGCTCTTCACTCTTTCCCGCGCCGTGCGGGACTACGGGGTCGGCCATGGTTTTGCGGCGGTGCGGCGTGCGTGCGTTATGACTGCTCGGGTGGC